TAATTTCTTTCTATTTTTAGTAGAGACAGGGTCTTGCTCTTGCTCAGGCTGGTCTCAAACTCCTGACCTTGAGCGATCCACCCACCTCGGCCTCCCAGAGTGCTAGGATTACAGGCGTGAGCCACCGCGCCCGGCCTGGAATCTGCATTTTAACACGCGACCTCCCCGCCCCACCAGCACTAGATACTTACAGATAGAAATGTTTGCCAAAGTTTGAAACCCCAGCATCATGCAATGTGGAAAGTGGATTTCGTACAGATAAAATGGAGGCGATGATTCAGGAAGGTTTTAGAGGCAAGGGGGTAAACCTGAGAAATACTGAGCAGGCGAAGTCCAGATGGCCTTGAAGAGTGGCAGGAGAGAGGTGAGGAAGAGGATGGGATGGAGGGAATGAATGTGAGTGGAGCCTCAGGTGTCTGGCTGGTGGCAGAGTGGATGGTACCTGCAGGGGCAAGCTCTGGAGTGGGGGGACCAGCTACACCACATTTCCCTGAAGTTGATTCAAATAACAGACTGGGTTAGACAAGTCCCTGCCCCCTCCTGGTACGTGTATCCCCCCAAGCTCCAGGCTGGGGCAGAGATGGATGGAGGTTGGCAAACGGGGGCAGAGGAGCAGGTGTTGGGGGCAGAGTTGATGACAAGCTTAGTTTAGGCTATATTTGGTTTCAATTGTCTCTGGGACACCAAGTGAGCATATTTGGCCTTTAGTTTGAAATGAATTGGGGGTTCAGGAGAGAGGTCTGGGCTGGAGGTTTAGTTTGGGTCACCAGTGTTAAGGTAAGAGTCAGAACTATGAGCTTACCCAGAGAGTGGAGGGAAGGGGGCCTGGGACAGGACCCTGGGAAAGCCCCAAAATAGGTAAGATGATCTTGACTAGATGACATCTAAAGGAAACATATGACACCCCTGTTCTCCATACTGAGAAGTCACTGGAAATAACCCAGGGAAATTTGCACAATATCTGCCTTTTTGGGAGAACAGATGCACAAAGTACAGTCGATTTTCATCATCGGCAGGAGGTATGGTCCATAAACTTGCCCCCATCTCATAGTTAGCCAACACTGAACCCCAACAAGGGAACCACAGGGCTAGGTTCCGGCGAGCCTCCGGTCACAAAATTTTCATGAGCTGATCAATACATACCTTTGTTTTATGTGTGTTTCTGTTTAAAGACACCTTGTTTGATACAGTTGATTCATTAGCATCGAGCTCACGGCCCCCAGCCCTGTAACTCGTGCCCGAATGAAGCTTATGGTACACACATTATTTTCCCCGCAAGGCACATCACAGCCCTCTCGTGCTTAGGAACACCAGATGGGACTTCAGTATTATGCTTGGAGGCTGCGTTACTTATTTATTTATTATTCGTATAAATTTAAGGGGTACAAGTGCAGCTTTATGACATGGATAGAGCGCATAGTGGTGAAGTCTGGGCTTTCAGAGCAGCGGTCATCTGAAGAGTGCGTGTTGTATGCATTAAGTAATTTCTCACCCCTCACCCCACTCCCACCCTCCTGCCCTTCCAAGTCTCCGGTGTCTATCATTGCACTTTGTCCATGCGTGCACATTATTTAGCTCCCAGTTATAAATGAGAACACGTGGTATATGACTTTCTGGATCTGAGTTGTTTCACTTAAGATAACGGCCTCCAGTCCTATCTGTGTTGCTACAAAAGACATGGTTTCATTCCTTTTCATGGCCGAATAGTATTCCGCTGTGTATGCATACTGCATTTTCTTTATCCAGTCACCCGCTGATGGGCACTTAGGTTGATTCCCTATCTTTGCTGTTGTGAACCGTGCTGCGATAAATACACAAATGCAAGTACCTTTCTGATACAATGATTTATTTTCCTTTGGGTAGATACCCAGTAGTGGGATCGCCCAGTAGTTCTGAGAAGTTGCCAAACCATTTTCCATTGTAAGTAACGAATTCCCCAACAGAAAGCTTGTCCCCAAATAGAGACACTTACAGGACGAGAGCCGACACTGAAGGCAGAGCATCGTCCCATGAACCTCAGCTGCAGCGCGCGTCGGGGGTCTCCTTTGGCCACTCGGTGCGTGTGCATGTGAAACACCACAAGCGTCGATGCGGGGGTTACAAATAAACTCTAGCAAGTAGACGCGTTTGCAAATACAGAATCTGTGAGCAATGAGGATGAACTGTACTCTAATTACATTCATTTGACGCCGTTAACGTGATCATTTCCGTAATATCCATTTTCTTAAATGAGTCAAATAACGGGAATGA